ATATTTTACCCATTCGGATACCAAAAGGAAAGTCTTTTACCCATTCAATTCCTATATCATATACCCACAAAACCCACAGTACACTTCAGGCTTCTTCTGCTTTCAATCATTAAAATTCCTCTTAATTCAACTCACTCACCTGGGTCTTTAACCCGGATTCATCTGGGTTTTTCAATTCCCTCTGTTGGTCACCAAGAAGTCTATCCCATTTTCTACTCAAAAACGTTTTCTATCTGATTTGATTTGAAGGATGTTTCGCTGAAAACCGTTACTTATTTGATAGCTGTTCAATTGCTGAAATGGGTATTTTCTCATACTTGATGATGAAATCTGTTAGTTGTGTTGTACTTTTTTGATATCTGTTCAATTGCTGCTAGTGAAACATCCTGGTCTAATCCGTAACATCAGTGAATTTTAGACAATTGTATTTTGAGTTAGTAGAGTGCTTGTATGGCTCAATTAGCTTATTCCGATTCGATGTCTGAAGGCTCGCAGCATGGCCAGGGGGTACAAATTGTGCCATTTAAGACCTGTATGGCATCTTTGAAGGTTTTACTGTTACATGGGAATTTAGATATATGGGTGAAAGAGGCTAAGAACCTTCCAAATATGGATATGTTTCATAAGAAACTAGGTGATGTGTTTGGATTTGGAAAGTTGAACAGCAAAATTGAGGGAAGCATGCCTAGTAAGATAACAAGTGACCCCTATGTCACCATTTCGGTATCCAATGCTGTAATTGCTAGAACTTTTGTGATTAACAATAGTGAGAACCCTGTCTGGATTCAGCATTTCTATGTTCCTGTTGCTCATTATGCTTCAGAAGTGCACTTCGTGGTTAAAGACGATGATGTTGTGGGCTCTCAAATTATAGGGGCTGTAGGCATCCCAGTGGAGGAAATAAGCTCTGGCAAAAAAATTGAGGGTACCTTCCCAGTTCTTAATGCAAGTGGGAAGCCTTGTAAGCCTGGAGCTGTCTTGACTATGTCGATTCAATACACACCAATGGAGCAAGTGTCTCTTTATCATGGTGGTGTTGGATCAGGTTCTGAATGTCAGGGCGTCCCTGGTACATATTTTCCCCTTAGGAGAGGTGGAAAAGTTACACTTTACCAAGATGCTCATGTCGATGATGGCTGCTTTCCGAAGTTGAAGCTTGACCATAATATGCTATATGAGCATGGACATTGCTGGCGTGATATTTATGAGGCAATCATTCAGGCGCGTCGTTTGATTTATATAACAGGATGGTCGGTCTACCACCTGGTTAGACTCGTTCGGGATGAGGGCGGTCCAAAAGATAGCACTTTGGGGGAGCTTCTCAAGGCCAAGTCACAGGAAGGTGTGAGGGTGCTGCTCCTTGTATGGGATGATCCTACTTCTAGGAGCATTTTGGGTTATAAAACTGTAAGAACCAACTTTACAATTTTTTTCTTATACCCTGCAGTCTCGTATTATGGTAGACTTAAATTATGTTGACTTCTTTTTTTCTGGTTTAGTGTTATGAGAAGGGTATTAGTTAGCATATTCTCACCTTTGAAGAGTCTCTCGTAGTAACTCTTACCGTGAGAACCAAGATACAGATTTGTTTTCTGAACATAAGTTAACATTTTTAAGTCAAATGATGGATTTTGTGGACCTCAGAGGTTGCAGGTTTGATCTTTGCCTCTCTAACCGAATGAAATGGCTATTGGATTGTTAGTTATGAATGTTTGGAGATAGTGTAGTTGCAACTTAACAATCAATGAATAGCATTTCTTAGCCTCCACGATATTGATTCTGACTTGCTATTTGACTCAAGGGTGACATGTTATTTATATGCTCTCAAATGTGTCCATGACATGTTAAGGTGAATGATATCAGTGTAATATCTTACCTTAATCTTTGAACACAAGGATGATTCCTTCTCACTTGGGCAAATACAATAGACTAGCTAAAAATGTTTCAATCTCACATTGATTGAGCTAAACTCTCAGGTGCATTGGTTGGGTAAATTCCCATGCCTATGCTTGTTTTACTATGATTCAAAGAACAAGAGACATTACGCAGCTAAATTTCTTGTCATTCAGTTATCGATTAATCATTCTTTTCAGATTATGAAAGTCAAAACGTAATAAGGAAAAGTTATGTAATATATGAGTTTCCATCATACTTATCGACTGGTTTGTCATGCAGTATGGTCTGTCTGGTGTGATGAAAATTTCAACTATATATTTCTCTGCAAAAAAAAACTGCAGAGAAATATATAGTTGAAATTTTCATCACACCAGACAGACCATACTGCATGACAAACCAGTCGATAAGTATGATGGAAACTCATATATTACATAACTTTTCCTTATTACGTTTTGACTTTCATAATCTGAAAAGAATGATTAATCGATAACTGAATGACAAGAAATTTAGCTGCGTAATGTCTCTTGTTCTTTGAATCATAGTAAAACAAGCATAGGCATGGGAATTTACCCAACCAATGCACCTGAGAGTTTAGCTCAATCAATGTGAGATTGAAACATTTTTAGCTAGTCTATTGTATTTGCCCAAGTGAGAAGGAATCATCCTTGTGTTCAAAGATTAAGGTAAGATATTACACTGATATCATTCACCTTAACATGTCATGGACACATTTGAGAGCATATAAATAACATGTCACCCTTGAGTCAAATAGCAAGTCAGAATCAATATCGTGGAGGCTAAGAAATGCTATTCATTGATTGTTAAGTTGCAACTACACTATCTCCAAACATTCATAACTAACAATCCAATAGCCATTTCATTCGGTTAGAGAGGCAAAGATCAAACCTGCAACCTCTGAGGTCCACAAAATCCATCATTTGACTTAAAAATGTTAACTTATGTTCAGAAAACAAATCTGTATCTTGGTTCTCACGGTAAGAGTTACTACGAGAGACTCTTCAAAGGTGAGAATATGCTAACTAATACCCTTCTCATAACACTAAACCAGAAAAAAAGAAGTCAACATAATTTAAGTCTACCATAATACGAGACTGCAGGGTATAAGAAAAAAATTGTAAAGTTGGTTCTTACAGTTTTATAACCCAAAATGCTCCTAGAAGTAGGATCATCCCATACAAGGAGCAGCACCCTCACACCTTCCTGTGACTTGGCCTTGAGAAGCTCCCCCAAAGTGCTATCTTTTGGACCGCCCTCATCCCGAACGAGTCTAACCAGGTGGTAGACCGACCATCCTGTTATATAAATCAAACGACGCGCCTGAATGATTGCCTCATAAATATCACGCCAGCAATGTCCATGCTCATATAGCATATTATGGTCAAGCTTCAACTTCGGAAAGCAGCCATCATCGACATGAGCATCTTGGTAAAGTGTAACTTTTCCACCTCTCCTAAGGGGAAAATATGTACCAGGGACGCCCTGACATTCAGAACCTGATCCAACACCACCATGATAAAGAGACACTTGCTCCATTGGTGTGTATTGAATCGACATAGTCAAGACAGCTCCAGGCTTACAAGGCTTCCCACTTGCATTAAGAACTGGGAAGGTACCCTCAATTTTTTTGCCAGAGCTTATTTCCTCCACTGGGATGCCTACAGCCCCTATAATTTGAGAGCCCACAACATCATCGTCTTTAACCACGAAGTGCACTTCTGAAGCATAATGAGCAACAGGAACATAGAAATGCTGAATCCAGACAGGGTTCTCACTATTGTTAATCACAAAAGTTCTAGCAATTACAGCATTGGATACCGAAATGGTGACATAGGGGTCACTTGTTATCTTACTAGGCATGCTTCCCTCAATTTTGCTGTTCAACTTTCCAAATCCAAACACATCACCTAGTTTCTTATGAAACATATCCATATTTGGAAGGTTCTTAGCCTCTTTCACCCATATATCTAAATTCCCATGTAACAGTAAAACCTTCAAAGATGCCATACAGGTCTTAAATGGCACAATTTGTACCCCCTGGCCATGCTGCGAGCCTTCAGACATCGAATCGGAATAAGCTAATTGAGCCATACAAGCACTCTACTAACTCAAAATACAATTGTCTAAAATTCACTGATGTTACGGATTAGACCAGGATGTTTCACTAGCAGCAATTGAACAGATATCAAAAAAGTACAACACAACTAACAGATTTCATCATCAAGTATGAGAAAATACCCATTTCAGCAATTGAACAGCTATCAAATAAGTAACGGTTTTCAGCGAAACATCCTTCAAATCAAATCAGATAGAAAACGTTTTTGAGTAGAAAATGGGATAGACTTCTTGGTGACCAACAGAGGGAATTGAAAAACCCAGATGAATCCGGGTTAAAGACCCAGGTGAGTGAGTTGAATTAAGAGGAATTTTAATGATTGAAAGCAGAAGAAGCCTGAAGTGTACTGTGGGTTTTGTGGGTATATGATATAGGAATTGAATGGGTAAAAGACTTTCCTTTTGGTATCCGAATGGGTAAAATATTGAGGATGAAGATAT